GGGACAGGCAGTGAGGGGGACAGGCAGTGAGGGGGACAGGCAGTGAGCGGGACAGGCAGTGAGCGGGACAGGCAGTGAGCGGGACAGGCAGTGAGCGGGATAGGCAGTGAAGGGGATAGGCAGTGAAGGGGATAGACAGAGAGTAGGATGGTCAGTGAAGGGGGTAGGCAGAGATTGGGATCGACAGTGAAGGGGATAGACAGTGAGCGAGGTAGAGTGTGAGTGGGATAGACAGAGAGCAGTGTAGACAGTGAGGGGGATAGACAGTGAGCAGGATAGATTGTTTGGGAGATAGGGAGTGAGTGGGGTACAGAGTTAGCTGGAGGGTCAGTGAACGGGATAGACAGTGAGGGTGATAGACCGTGAGCAGGATAGACAGTGATGGGGACAGACAGTGAAGGGGTAGGGAGTGACCAAGATACGGAGTGAGCAGGATAGACAGTGAGGGGAATAAACAGAGAGCAGGATGGACAGCGAGGGAGATTGACAATGAGGGGGAATAGGGAGTGTGGCAGATAGGGAGTGAACAGGATAGTGAGTGAGGGGGGTAGGGAGAGAGCAGGATAGGGAGTTTAAATGGAAAGACTGTGAGGGGGATAGACAGAGAGTGGGACAGACAGTGAGCGGGATTGCAGTGAGCGGATAGGGAGTGAGCAGGATAGGCAGTGAGCGAGATAGGTAGTGAGCAGGACAGACAGTGAGGGACATAGGGAGTTTGGGGGATAGTGAATGAGCAGTTTAGGGAGCGAGCGAAATATAGAGTGAGCAGGATACACAGTGAGAGGGATAGACAGAAAGTGGGTAGACACTGAACGAGATCACAGTGAACGGGATAGAGAGTGAGCGGTATAGGCAGTGAGCGGGATTAATGATGAGTTGAAGAGTTTGGAAGTGGGATTTGTGGTGAGCCAGACGGTCAGTGAGCAAAGAAAGGTGATGAACTTGGAATGTCAGCAAATGGGAGGGTCAGCCCCCAGATAAGTGGTAGACTGAGTGTGCAAGAGAGGAAAAATGTGGAAGAGCGTGAGAGTGGGAGAGGTGCGAGGGCGAGAGGGTCCAAAGGGGAGAATGTGTGAGGGCGAGAGGGTGTGAGGGGGAGAGGGTGTAAGGGGCAGACAGTATGTGAGGGATCGAGGGTGTGAGGGGGAATGGAATCAAGCGAGTGTCGGAGTATGTGGAAGAGAGCGCGTGTGAGAGGTAAGTAGTAAGAGCCTACATATTTCATATTTCCAAACTTACTCTAAAAGCTGTTTCATTTACAAATAGGAGTGTATTAATATTCAGCATTACAAGTTGCAGGGTGAAATATTTAATATATTTGGAAAAGCTCAGTCCTACAGAACCTAAGATAGCCTTGAATATTTTGGGACAATCTGATTCCCTTAACATTGTTTCATTTAAAGATATATTTCTCCAAAATGCAACTGCCCCATTAAATGGGGCATCACTGAACTTCTAATGGGAGAGAGAGTTGATCATTTTTTTCATGTGATGGAATCCTTCCTATAACCTCAGCTACAGACTGGTATGGTTTAGTTGGAGCATTACCATCGAGTCAGAAGGTGCAGTTCCAGAATCCCATTCCAGGCAGTCAGGTTGAGCTGAGATACAACTCTACTTCTGAATTCTGTGTTGGCATCCAGTGGGATACTTCAGCTAATAGTCTTTCCTCATCATATGTAAGGATAAGGTTAGACAACTTATGCTGCAGATTTATAGAACTCTAGTTAGGCCACACTTGGAATATTGTGTACAGTTCTGGTCACCACACTACCAGAAGGATGTGGATGCTTTGGAGAGGGTACAGAAAAAAGGTTTACCAGGATGCTGCCTGGTACAGGGGATTTTCACTATCAAGAAAGGTTGAATAGACTGGGATAACACAAAGTGGAGCTGGAGGAAGACAGCAGGCCAGGCAGCATCAGAGGAGCAGGAAAGTTAACGTTTCGGGTCATAGAACATAGAACTTTACAGCGCAGTACAGGCCCTCCAGCCCTCGATGTTGCACTGAGCTGTGAAACCAATCTGAAGCCCATCTAACCTAAACTATTCCATTATCATTCATATGTTTATCCAATGACCATTTAAATGCCCTTAAAGTTGGCGAGTCCACTACTTTTGCAGGCAGGGCATTCCATGCCCTTACTACTCTCTGAGTAAAGAACCTACCTCTGACATCTGTCCTACATCTATCACCCCTCAATTTAAAGCTATGTCCCCTCGTGCTAGCCATCACCATCTGAGGAAAAAGGCTCCCACTGTCCACCCTATCTAATCCTCTGATCATCTTGTATGTCTCTATTAAGTCACCTCTTAACCTTCTTCTCTCTAACGAAAGCAGCCTCAAGTCCCTCAGCCTTTCCTCATAAGACCTTCCCTCCATACCAGGCAACATCCTGGTAAATCTGAGACAACAAGGTGCAGAGCTGGATGAACACAGCAGGCCAAGCAGCATCATCTGCTCCTATGATGCTGCTTGGCCTGCTGTGTTCATCCAGCTCTGCACCTTGTTGTCTCGGATTCTCCAGCATTTGCAGTTCCTACTATCCTGGTAAATCTCCTCTGCACCCTTTCCAATGCTTCCACATCCTTCCTATAATGCGGTGACCAGAACTGTATGCAATACTCCAAGTGCTGCCGCACCAGAGTTTTGTACAGCTGCAACATGACCCATGGCTCCGAAACTCAATCCCTCTACCAATAAAACCTAACACACCATACGCCTTCTTAACAACACTATCAACCTGGGTGGCAACTTTCAGTGATCTATGCACATGGACACCGAGATCTCTCTGCTCATCCACACTACCAAGAATCTTAGCATTAGCCCAGTACTCTGTATTCCTGTTACTCCTTCCAAAGTGAATCACCTCACACTTTTCCGCATTAAACTCCATTTGCCACCTCTCAGCCCAGCTCTGCAGCTTATCTATGTCCCTCTGTAACCTGCAACATCCTTCCGCTCTATCCACAACTCCACCGACTTTGGTGTCATCCGCAAATTTACTAACCCATTCTTCTACGCCCTCATCCAGGTCATTTATAAAAATGACAAACAGCAGTGGCCCCAAAACAGATCCTTGAGGTACACCACTGGTAAGTGAACTCCAGGATGAACATTTCCCATCAACCACCACCCTCTGTCTTCTTACAGCTAGCCAATTTCTGATCCAAACCGCTAAATCACCCTCAATCCCATGCCTCCGTATTTTCTGCAATAGCCTACCATGGGGAACCTTATCAAATGCTTTACTGAAATCCATATACACCACATCAACCGCTTTACCCTCATCCACCTGTTTGGTCACCTTCTCAAAGAACTCAATAAGGTTTGTGAGGCACAACTCACCCTTCACAAAACCGTGTTGACTATCCCTAATCAAATTATTCCTTTCTAGATGATTATAAATCCTATCTCTTATAATCCTTTCCAACACTTTACCCACAACCGAAGTAAGGCTCACTGGTCTATAATTACCAGGGTTGTCTCTACTCCCCTTCTTGAACAAGGGGACAACATTTGCTAGTCTCCAGTCTTCTGGCACTATTCCTGAAGACAATGACGACATAAAGATCAAAGCCAAAGGCTCTGCAATCTCCTCTCTAGCTTCCCAGAGAGTCCTAGGATAAATCCCATCCGGCCCAGGGGACTTATCTATTTTAACACCTTCCAGAATTGCTAACACCTCCTCCTTATGAACCTCAATCCCATCTAGTCTAATAGACTGTATCTCAGTATTCTCCTCGACAACATTGTCTTTTTCCTGTGTGAATACTGACGAAAAATATTCATTTAGCACCTCTCCTATCTCTTCGGACTCCACGCACAACTTCCCACTACTGTCCTTGACTGGCCCTAATCTTACTCTAGTCATTCTTTTATTCCTGACATACCTATAGAAAGCTTTAGGGTTTTCCTTGATCCCACCTGCTAAAGACTTCTCATGTCCCCTCCTGGCTCTTCTTAGCTCTCTCTTTAGGTCCTTCCTGGCTAACTTGTAACTCTCAAGCGCCCTAACTGAGCCTTCACGCCTCATCTCTACATAAGCCTCCTTCTTCCTCTTGACAAGAGATTCAACTTCTTTAGTAAACCACGGTTCCCTCGCTGGACCACTTCCTCCCTGCCTGACAGGTACATACTTCTCAAGGACACGCAGTAGCTGTTCCTTGAACAAGCTCCACATTTCAATTGTGCCCAGCCCCTGCAGTTTCCTTCTCCATCCTATGCATCCTAAATCTTGCCTAATCGCCTCATAATTGCCTTTCCCCCAGCTATAACTCTTGCCCTGCAGTATATACCTATCCCTTTCCATCGCTAAAGTAAACGTGACCGAATTGTGGTCACTATCACCAAAGTGCTCACCTACCTCCAAATCTAACACCTGGCCTGGTTCATTACCCAGTACCAAATCCAATGTGGCCTCGCCTCTTGTTGGCCTATCTACATACTGTGTCAGGAAACCCTCCTGCGCACATTGGACAAAAACTGACCCATCTAAAGTACTCGAACTATAGCGTTTCCAGTCAATATTTGGAAAGTTAAAGTCCCCCATAACAACGACCCTGTTACTTTCGCTCCTATCCAGAATCATCTTTGCAATCTTTTCCTCTACATCTCTGGAACTTTTCGGAGGCCTATAGAAAACTCCCAACAGGGTGACCTCTCCTTTCCTGGTTCTAACCTCAGCCCATACTACCTCAGTAGACGAGTCCTCATCAAAAGTCCTTTCTGCCACCGTAATACTGTCCTTGACTAACAATGCCACACCTCCCCCTCTTTTACCACCTTCCCTGATCTTACTGAAACATCTAAACCCCGGAACCTGCAACAACCATTCCTGTCCCTGCTCTATCCATGTCTCCGAAATGGCCACAACATCGAAGTCCCAGGTACCAACCCATGCTGCAAGTTCACCCTTCTTCAGAAATGGGGCAAGGGGAAGGGAGTTCAGAAATAAATAGAGAGGAGGGGTGGAGCTGGGGAAGGTAGGTGGGATGGTGATAGGTGAATGCGTGTAGGCAGTGGTGGGGATTGGTCAGTGAGGTGGGAGGAGAGGTGAGGATAGGTAGGAGATAAAATGGACAGGCTGTGTCAGGTCAAGGAGGTGGGGATGAGAGTGTGGGTTGGTCATGGGATGAGGCTAGGGGTGGTGAGATTTTGAAACTGGTAAAATCCACATTTAGGCCATTGGGCTGTAGGCTACCGAGGCGGAATATGAGGTGCTGCTCCTCCACTTTCCGGGTGATGTCATTGTGATACTGGAGGAGGCCCAGGATAAACATGTCACCCACAGAGTGGGAGGGGGAGTTGCAATGATTCACGACTGGAAGGTGTTGTCATTGGTCGCAAAAGGGAGCAGGTGCTCTGCAAAGCAGTCTCCGAGCCACCACTTGGTCTCACAGATGTAGAAGAGGCCTCATCGGGAGCAGCGGATGCAATAGACCACATTGATGAATGTGCAGGTGAACCTCTGTCTGATGTGAAGGTTTGTTTGGTGCCTTAAATGGAATTGAGAGGGGAGGTGTAGGGACATATGTAGCACTTCCTGCAGTTGCAGGGAAAGGTGCCGGGGGTGGTGGGGCTGATGGGGAGTGTGGAGCGGATGAGGGAGTCGTGGAGAGTGCAATCCCTACGAAAGGTAAATAGGGTGGGAGGGAAATATATTTTTAGTTGTGGGGTCGGATTGTAGGTGGCAGAAGTGGCAGAGAATGATACGTTGGATATGGAGGTTAGTGGGGTGATATGTGAGGACAAGGGGGATTCTGTTTTTGTTTTTGTTGGGGGTAGGGGACGTGAGGGCAGAGATGCGGGAAACGAAAGAGATGCGGTGAAGAGCATTTTCGACCACCAAAGAGGGGATGTTCGGTACTTGAAATAAAAGGACATTTGGGAACAGACAACGCGGACTAATTGGGAATAAGAGATCACATTCTTGCAGGAAGGTGCATGAGAAGCTAGCTGTGGGAGTCGGTGGGCTTGAAATAGATATTGGTTTCAAGTCAGTCACCAGAGATGGAGACAGAAAGGTCCAGGAAGGAGAGGGAGGTATCAGAGATGGTCCAGGTGCACTTGAGGTTGGGGTGAAAGGTGTTAGTAAAGTTGATGAACTGTTCAAGCTCTTCATGGGAGCACAAGGCAGTACCGATACAGTCATCGATGTAGCAGAGGAAGAGGTGGTGAATTGTGCCAGTATAGCAGCAGAAGAGGGACTGATCCACATATCCTATGAAGTAGGCAGGCATAGCTTGGGCCTATGAGGGTTCCCATGGCCACCCCCTTAGTCTGTAAGAAGTGGTAGGAGTTAAAGGAGAAGTTATTAAGAGTAAGAATGAGTTCAGTTAAGTGGATGAGGGTTTCAATGGAGGGGGACTGGTTGGGCCTGTGGCAGAGGAAGAAGCAGAGGGCTTTTAGGCCACCCATGTGGAGAATGCAAGTGTATAGGAATTGGATGTCCATAGTGAAGATGAGGTGTTGGGGGCCAGGGAATTGGAAGTCTTGGAGGATGTGGAGGGCGTGAGTGGTGTCCTGGATGTAAGCGGGGAGTTCCTGGACCAGTGGGGAGAAAACAGGGTCAAGGTAACTGGAGATAAGTTTGCTTAACATATGAGGAACATTTGAGGACTCTGGGACTATACTCATTGGAGTTTAGAAGAATGAGGGGGGATCTAATTGAAACTTACAAAATACTGAATGGCCTGGACAGAATGGATTTTAGGAAGTTGTCTTCATTTGTAGGAGAGACTAGGACCCAAGGGAACAGCCTTAGAGTAAAGGGAAGACCTATTAGAATGGAGATAAGGAGAAACTTCTTCAGCCAGAGAGTGGTGAATCTATGGAATTCACTGTCACAGAAGGTTGAGAAGGCCAGGTCATTGTGTACATTTCAGACTGAGATAGAAAGGTTCTTGATTATCAGGGGGATCAAGGGATACAGGGAGAAAGTGGGTGAATGGGGTTGAGGAACTTATCAGCCATGATTGAATGGCAGAACAGACTTGATGGGCTGAATGGCCTAATTTCTGCTCCTATGTCTTATGGTCTTATGGTCTTAAGTTCAGTGGGGCAGGAGCAGGCAGAGACAGTGGGTCGGCCAGGACAGTCAGGTTTGTGGATTTTGGGAAGGAGATAGAAACAGGCTGTGCAGGGTTGGGGAACAATGAATAGACAGTTCAGAGAAAGGGTCACCAGACCCTAAACGTTAACTCAGTTGTTCGCTTCACAGATGCTGAGCTTTTCCAGCAACTTGGTTTTTGTTCAATGAATAGACTGGGTTGGAGTCAGGGCTGGAATGCAGAAGGTTGAGGGGCAACCTGATCGACGTTGATACGATTGTGAATGGCATGGATAGAATGGAAAGTATGAACCTTTTTTCCCAGGATGGAGGGATCAATTACTAGGGAACACAGGTTCGAGGTGCAGGTTGGGAAGTTAAAAAGAGATGTGTGAGGCACGTTTTTCACACAAAGGGTGGTGAGTGTCTGGAAGTCGCTGCCAGAGGAGGTGGTGGAAGCAGACACAATTCGCTATTCATGAATACGTGAATAGGAAGGGAATAGAGGGATATGGATCCTGTAAGTGAAGACAGTTTTAGTATAAAAGGGCAAAATGTGTCAGTGTGGGCTTGGAGGGCTGAAGGGCCTGTTCCTGCGCTGTATTGTTCTTTGTGTTTTTTTGTTTGGATTGTGAATGACCCCAGTTGCAAATCAGTTACAGTGGTCCAATTCCAGTTGTGGCACTCTGTAGCATCACACTGCTTTTTCAGTTTCTATTTTAATGACAGCATTACAATCATTGTTCTCTTCAGTTCTTACATCCACTTCCAAATGACATCCTTCTCTTCTATCATTTCCACTGTATTGAAATTCAATCTCGTTGCACCATCTCTTGCTCATCTATTGTGTTTGCAAGACCTGAAGCTAAAATCACTGACCTCCTCTGATTACCTTTCCTTCTACAATCCATACTTTGCATGGTCTAACTGGAATTTCCTTGGCAATAATTTTTGTGTTTTTTCCTAATCTCCTACAGAAGTTAGGTAGTAATCAAGGAAAAATATCATATATTACAATTAGAAATGTTTTGGTTTGCCAAAGGAGGATAAACTCCATGCAAATTCTACTTAACTAGAACATAGAACATAGAACATTACAGCGCAGTACAGGCCCTTCGCCCCTCAATGTTGCGCCGACCTGTGAAACCAATCTGAAGCCCATCCAACCTAAACTATTCCATTATCATCCATTAGTTTATCCAATGACCATTTAAATGCCCTAGTTTATCTTGCTTCTCTTCTCAACTTGCATAGTGTCCTGACCTCTCAATATTCGTACTATGGCTAGGATAATAATACGATAAAATAAAACACAACCTTTGGCACTGTAAATAACCCTACAAAATGTATTTCTATTAAAGGTGAAGATCTGAACATGAGCGGACTCTGTGATTTACCCGACAACTTAGCAGAATGGACAAAAATGCACGTGAAAGACTGGGTGGTTGATCTCCTGAAACTTGATCAGAAATATGGTGACATACTATACAATGAAGATGTCAATGGAGTGGTATTGAAAGAACTTACTAAAGGAGATATACGTGAATTGGGCATAAAGGCTGGACCAGCTGCTGTCATAATACGGAAACGGGATGAATTCATCAAGGCCTCAAAGTCGGAAGCAAAGCTTGCAACTTGTGCCAATGATAAGCAAATATGTTCAGGAAGATCCTCATCTTCAGAAGTAAATGATTCAGATTGTAAGGCTGTTGCCAGTAATGAATCAGAGTGTCAGAGCACTAAACCAGATTCTACTGAACTCACAGAGAATTCTTTACAAGAGAAACACAACATCAAGAAGAGACAAGGCAAAACTGAACCCGATAGCTGTACCATTAATTGTCAAGTAGACACAGAAATGCAAGTTACCTTGCCCACTTCTACAAAACCAGAGGAAGATGAGATAAAAGAACAGGAATGTTCACAGCAGACATCTGCAAAAATACAACCTGTTGCAAAATCAAAACTGAGATGTGAACCATATCCATTTGATGAACGTCATGTAGGCACTCGATACGTACAAAATTATATTCTTTCTCCTGAAACTGGCCCCTCCAATCTAATTGACCCAGTACATGAGTTTAAACTGTTTAATTTGAAAGGGGATGCAACAGAGGAAGATATGAAGAAGAAGTTTAGCAATGAAGTTTTCAGATTCGCCGCTGCATGCATGAATAGCAGAACCAATGGAACCATCCATTTTGGGGTAGGAGACACAGGTTCAGGATATGAACACGGTGAGATTATAGGTGTGTCTGTGGACAATCCAGCTAAATATGTTGACCACATTTCTAATCATTTTGCTCAGTATTTTGAAAAAGAAAAGATTGAACATGCAAAGTTATCTATTAGACCACCTCGATTTGTGGAAATTTTGAACCCAAACCAAACATTATCAGCAAAGTTTATAATTGAAGTCGATGTTGTACCAAGCTTCAGGATTTGTGATTCCAACTTGTATCATATTTACATGATGAATCAGGTCAATGGAAAGTGGATGAAAAGTAAAGAGCAACATTTTTTCATACGTGATGGAGGCAGCTCCAGGGATATTCTGAGAAATAAGAATTTCACAGAAAGGGAGGCTGAATACAGAAGATTCTCCACAGAAACGTTAAAAACCTTAGTGGATAAAAGGAAAAATGCTGAAGAAAAGCCACAAAAGCAGACAAAGAAACAAGAAGGATACAAGCTAGTTAGGATGATTACAGGTGGCTCAGAAATGATAGACACATCCTATTACCAGTGGTACATATTAGTGACAAACAAATCCCAGCAGACTCAAGCGCACAATTTTGATTTTCTGAAGGAAATGAATTGGTTTTGTGTGCTCGAGTTTGATCCTGAATCTGTAACCAATGGGGTGTGTAAGTCGTATCGTGAAGACAGAGCAACAAACCTCCATTTCCCTAGTCACTTCCAAGATATTGATACAGCAGTTATTGAAAAGATTGAACAACTGCACTTATACAAGCAAACGAGCTGGATATTTTGTAATGGAAGGTCAGACCTTGATGATCAGAACTATAAGCCATTAGTGCCCAAAATGTGGTATAAAGAACGAGCTGCCGATGTCAGGAAATTGATTTCATTTCTGTGCCGAGTTGATATCATGCCAAAAGGGAAGTTTCTGGTAGTTTTTCTGATCCTATCTAAAGTAGACGATCCAAGAGATCCATTTCTGGAAACCTTCTGTTCATTTTATCAGGAACTGAAAGGGACAGAAGACATATTGTGCATCTGTGAAAGTCACCAAACATTCTTGAGATGGAAAGACCTCATGCTGTGCACGTGTGAATCATACGAACTTACAGAGAGGTGTGTTTCTGCATTAAGCCTTGATGAAGTCAATGCGACTGTTCTAAAATTAAAATCTGTTACTCGGTCTACAAAACGATTCTTACCCTCTGCAACTTCAGCCTCTGTTATTCTCCAGAAAAAAGATGAAGAGCTGTTGACTGCACTCGAAATCCTGTGTGAAAATGAATGTGAGGGCACTGAAATAGAAAATGATCAAAATCGGTTTAAGGAATTTCAAAAATCCAAAGAGGAGCAGTTTTACAGGGGTGGCAAAGCATCCTGGTGGAATTTCTACTTTGACACAAAAGTCCCTTTCATCAAACGAGACAGTTACGCGAAGCTCGAAGAATTGATTAATGCAAAATCACCTTCTGCCATGTGTGTGAAGATCATCAATTTATTTCATCATCCAGGCTGTGGTGGGACAACTTTAGCCATGCATTTTCTATGGGAGTCAAGGAAAAAATTCAGGTGTGCTGTGTTGAAAAACAGTAAAGAAGACTTTGTAGAAATTGGGAAACAAGTCATTCATCTAGTCACTTATCAAGTAACAACTAACTCAGAATACTTACCAGTGTTATTGCTGGTGGATGACTTTGAAGAATTAGAAAATGTGCATGTGTTACAGAACTCAGTTCAGACTATTGTTGCAGAGAAAGGTCTACGATTTGAGTGGCCTTTGGTCATCATTCTAAACTGTATGAGATCCCAGGATCCAGTCAAAAGTTCAAAAAAGAGTGTTTTGGAAAGTGTTGCTCTAAAGCATGAACTGTCCATTAAAGAGCAACGATTGTTTGAACGAAAGCTTGAGGAAATTGAGGAACAACACTCAAAACCTGAAAACTTCTACTCCTTCATGATTATGAAGAGTAACTTTGACGAGAAGTACATTGAAAATGTGGTACACAATAGTTTAAAGGACTTGAATACTAAAAGCAAACAAGGACAGCTGATTTCAATCTTGGCTTTGCTGAATTGGTATGTTAAAGATTCTTCAATATCAGTTTCAAAATGTGAAGAATTTCTGGGATTAGGACAAGTCAAAACATCTTTCTGGGGACCAGAAAAGTTTGAAGATGCAATGGGTACTTACTGCAACCTTCTTATTCGTGTAGAAGTAGAAGAGTATGGAAGATATGAGGGAATTCGAATCATCCACCCCTTGATTGCAAATCGTTGCTTGGATGAATTAAAGCATTCTTACAAACTTCACAAGAGTGAGATTGCCTTGATGTTGCTCAGCCAAAGCATATTTCTCCAACGTAGTATTGGAAGAGAAAAACTGCTGCAGGACACATGGAACTTGTTGATTACAAGACGACGAAAAGAGCATGGCGATGAAGCAGATACTTTGTTCTCCCCTCTAATTGAAGCATTACAGAGTGAAGAAGGAACTAAGCAGGTTGTAAATGTCTTGACCGAAGCGTCAAACAGATTTGACCAAAATCCCTTCATTTCCCAGGTTCTAGCAAGGCATTTCTATCTGATAGTGAAGGATTATGATTCAGCACTTTACTGGGCAACTAAAGCTAAGGAGCGGGCGAAAGATAATTCTTACGTCACTGATACATTAGGCCAAGTATTCAAAAGCAAGTTAAAATACAGGATGGAGTGTGTTGAGATTGACAAACAAACTGTGGTGACTTCTCATCAATTGACGGAGTTCCTGGATCTTGCAGAATCTGCTTCTAATGCTTTCAGAGAATCTCAGCAATTGACAGAACAGAAAGGAGAAAGCAGACTTGATTGGGAAGAACCGAGTTCTAAACGGAAGTATGATGTGTACAACACTTCTGGTTATTTGGGGGAGATTGAAGTTGCTTTGTATGTTACAGATATCCTCAGAATGATACCATTCTTCAATGAAAAGAATAAAATTGGTGAAATGCAATTAAAGGATCTCCTCTCAGGTAACTTGAATCTTGAGCATATTGAAAAGACAAACAGTATTGATGAAGAGTTATGCTCAGTGGTTGGAGAATACAAACGATACTTGATTAATATCCAGACCACAATGAAAAGATCTTTTGACTTTTTTGAAGACTATTTTGTTCATTTCAAAACAAAAAATATTGAGAGAGAAATAGCAGAATTTAAGATTCGCAGGAAAGTTTCAGAATGTTTTTCAAAATACACAAAAACGTTCTGTTCATCACACACTGAAATTAGGGATGCAAGGATAAGTAGGCCAAAACTCAGTCTGCCACTTGAGTTGGAAGAATGCAGAAAGTATTTAGAGTCCCAAAAAGCTGACCGTTTTGCTGGTTTGCTTGAGTTCCTTACAAATAATCATGAAATTGGTCGAAGTGTGGAAGAAATTGTCAGCAAATACCAATTTCTCCTTCAGAATTCAACAACTCAGTTAACAAGACAGAAACAAAATTTTATATTGGCTACTATCGTACTTAACTGTGTCAAACCAAAGTCCAAAAAAATTGAAACTTTTAATAAGCTTCGAGAACTTCTGAAACAAGTTCTGCAAGATGTAGGGTTTGATTTTGGTCACGTTGAGCCATATTTCTTGGTTTCCTTATTATTTTGGCCAACAAAGTATAATGAAATTAATGAAGATTCTAAACTCCTTCTGAAATGTATTAATGCAATCAAACAGTCATTTAGATGTCGTTATGGACGAATGAGTCGTTCTAAACATCCTGTTGCACATTTCTATCTCGGCAAGAAAGAGGGTTTGAACAGATTTGTTCACAAAGCAAAAATCGATCATTTCTTCAGTAAGGTGCCACAACTGAATACCTTATGGCAATCTGGAGAAATCTGGAAAACAGACGAAGTCAAAAAGCTTCTTCTTCGTTTGCATGGTCGAACAGGGGATGATAACAAAGTGTATGTCGAGTTTGGCGGTGTTGAGAAAATCAAAATTCCTGTGCGTCCTGTATACTTGGGCAAACTGAGAAGTGGTCAAAGCATTGAAAAAATATCCTTTTACTTGGGGTTCTCCATGGATGGACCAATAGCATATGACATAGAGAATACAAATTAACATTGACAGACTCGGTTTGATGTATAACATTGAATATCAATCTTGTTGCAATGTCTACATGATGCATTTCTTTTCGTCTAGAAATTACATTATTGAGGTCTTATATATTATCACATTAACTGTAGCTTTTGGGAGACAATTTTCCAAATAGATTCTGTTTCCAGGGGTCCTGCACTTAACTTACCCTGTGGGCCTCACCAAAATTTGTAGATTTAGGCAACATGCGGAGAGGGGCTATCAAGTTCCCCAGAAAAAAAAGATGAGGTGCCAATGGTTGCCCAGGTTGCTTCAAAACTGTGTACACAATTTAATATTCATTGAGCCAGTGGCCCAGACTTCAATCCTAGCTGGGTGCCCACAGTTATCAGTGGCTTGTGCTGGTCTATCTAGTGTGATCAGGTTTTTCTAAATCAAACATATTTTGGGCCTTTACAAAAGTATTTTCATTGGAAATGCCAGCACTAGCTGATCTCTTAAATTGATGAAACAAAAACAGAAACTATTGAAAAAACTCAACAGGTCTGGCAGCATCTGTGGAGAGAAAGCACTTTTGGCTCGAGTGACCGTTCTTCAGAACTGATGGCCTTAAACTGGTGGCCTTACAATACGTGGAGTTAAGGCTGAGATGAGAGCAGCCATGATGGTATTGAGTGGCAGAACAGGCTCAGGGGACTGAATTACCTACTCCTGTTCCTAGTTCATCTATAATTTTTGGCCAGGGTCTGGTATGATTTGATCCCAGCCACGTGATCAGCCACACTTGCCCTGTCACTAAAGTTATGTTATGATGTTGTGGCTGTTCAGGAACTATAATAGAGCTCTGGCTCAGGAGATAGTGCCCTTGCTTCTTCAATAAGAAAATTGTGTGTTCCAGATCCGCTCCAAAGACTTGAAGCCAAAAAATAAAACTGAATACTCCAGTACTGCAAGGAGGGAATGTTGCATTATCAGGTGTGTCACTTTTCAGAGGAGATGTTAAAGCTAGACCCTAGCTAGTTGCTACAGATCCAATGGAACTGTTTCAAAGAACATAGGAACTATTCCTAGGGACCCATCAAATATTTATCCCTCAAACAACATTAGATTATAAAACAGATTATCTGGTCATTAAGAAATTGCTATTTATGGGATCTTGCTGTGGACAGTTTGGCTGCTGTCTGTCATCACAACAGTGACCGCACTTCAAAATATATTTAATTCATTGTGAAATGTTTTGTGACCTCATGAGATTGTAAAAATGCACTGTATAAGTTGAGAAGATTGTGGTGTAGTGGTAAGGTCATTGCACTCGTAAACTAGTGGTTCAAACCCAACGCCCCCCTGCTCCATGAAGTGCAGCTGGTAAGTTGTAAATTTGGAATCAGAAGTTATTAATTGTCATAAAAGTCCATCTGGTTCCCTAATATCCTTCAGGGACAGGAATCTGACATCCTTATCTAGGCTGACATGTGACCCCAAACCCACAGCAATGTTTTTAACTCTTAACTGCCCTCTGATGTGGCCTAACAAGTCACTTAGTTCAAGGGCAATTAGAGATGGGCAGCAATATCCCCAGCCCAAATAAACCTTTTTTTATATGCGGAGATCTATATGACAGGTAATGTTAGGGAAAAAAAAGATGTTTACGCAAAATTGGTATTAGCATTGGCTAGAGGTCAGAAAATGCAGAATGCGTTGTTATATTTGCCTACTGTTCATTATATCCTTTTGTGTTACAAGTATAAAATCGCCAAAGCATATACAACAGATTAATTAGCATTTAAAGGAGAAAACACAGCTTGAGATTTGCTTTTGAATTTTTTTCACCACAACTGACATTCTGCCTGCCCTCAGCACTTTTACTTTAGATTTCATATTTTTATTTCAAATGTCAGCACTTTATCTGACTTCTTTACAGCTCTGCCATGGGAAAGACCAAAGGAGATGGGAACAATCCAGATTAATGGTCTGATCGCACTTTTTCCCAATTTTCCTACTCACCATTCTGATTCTCACCTTCATTAATCTGGGAAGATCCCCTTCAGCATAAGGTGCCTCTGAATCCTATAACCTGCATATTTTTAAAAAAACATTTTTACTGACCTTGTATAACTACCTGGGGAGAAATCAAGAATATGTGTAATACTTTTACAAAATATGGTTTGAGATTTTTTTCTACTTTTGTGTTATTGTTACAAAAATAATCAACGTGTATTTGTTAAAGTTATCATGTATTAATATTTTAAGGTTAAAGAGAAATGGAGTGAATTATAAGCAATGGGTGAATTATATTAAGATTTCTTGACTTCTAGGTAAATTTCCTGGTAAAAGCATAAATGCCTTAAACAGACATTCCTTGGGACTATTTCATGCAAACACTGAATGCCTTGCGGTTCATTTGTTACTCCTGATTGAACAGTTTGGAATTTAGCATGGTTATCAGATTGCTGTAATTTCTAATAATATCTAGATTTCTGGGAAAAATCCAGTGGAGGTAAAGGCCTAGCAACAAGGTTTTTATCCCCAGTGGATAATTTTTTTTTAAAAAGTCTGTTTTGTTCTACTTTGGTGAACCCCTATCAGCTATGAGTAAAATAGTTACTGTAAGGAAAGGGTCAACCAGACAGTTCAGAATTTGTCAAATGATATTCTGACTAGTAACATTAGCCTTCAATCTCTGTTTGATAAACTGAGAAGCACGATTCAATTTCAACATAGATATTACCAAAACTTTGAGATGACTCCTTTTCCACAGAAATTATCAATTTCCAGATTAAATAATTTCTTACCTAACATTGTTAAAGACTCTTTACATCAGTTACACTTAAGCTTCTACATTTTGGGCAGCTATCCTCATAGGCAAGAGGAAATAATCTTGCAAAAGAAAAATGTTTTAATAAATATCTTTTATTTGGAGTTTCTGTAAAATCAGGAGACTGTTATTAAATAATACAGAGTCTAAAACAGACTATTACATGTTTTACTGGTGGGCTAACTACTGAGCAAAACTACTGATGGAAAAACAAGACAAGTTATGCTGATACCATGAGTCTGATGGGGAAAAAGAGATCGTTAAGGAAGGAGACCAAAAAATAGAAAATGCTGATCAGGCATTAACAGTGGACAGGTAAACACATAAATATTTTATGTCTAAGTGAAAGTGTTTATTCATAGTTTTTAGTTCATATTTCCAGAATCTGCAGTATATTTGCATTGGCATTAGGAAACTAGTACATTAAATAGTTGCAATGATAAGGGACAAATTCAGTTACGTTACCTTGCAGACCCAGGGTTCTGACAAACTACATCAAATCTGACATCAGGAGTCTCCAAGTCTGCTGAGTGCAGCAATTGACAACCTTCTGTGGATTCAAGTGGTACACAACTTGGGTGATACATGGCCGTTTCAAAGTGGTGTAATTAGTAGCAACTCACATGATCAGTCTGCAGTGAAGATACCAAGGAGAGATAAAATATAAAACTTCAAGATTTACAGAGTATTTGAAGGAATATAAGCCATAAATTATCCTCTAAAGAAGAGGACAAGGCAAGCGCAGATAGTATAACAACTCCTGAGAACAACCATCTCATAAGTAACCAGCCCTAGTGTCCAGGAACCGGTGATTGGAGACCCCATTGTAGTACTTCAGCCAAGTTCATCACTTGCGGGTCGTACCTAATCTATGTTTTGAGTCCTTGCTTTAATTTGCTTGATTTGTATTAGTAGTTGAAGTTCTATTAGTTAATCGGTTGTAGCCAGAATAAAGGATTATTAAGTTAACTGATTGACCTGTCTGAGTGATCTCTATTGGTATTGAGGTACAACAATCTTTGTATGAAATCATTCGTTAACTTTTGTGGAAAGTCACATGATGCATTGTCATTTTGAGAGAATAAGAGAAATAAATAAAATTGAATTTTTTACAGATATCTTGGGTTCAAAATTTTTTTGTCCATGCCGTGATGAATTTATAAATACCATTTGTCAGTTGTCTGTACATCACTCTTGAATACACTGGAAGCTTAATAAAGTATGATCTTGTCCAACTCAAGAATGAATAGAACTTCTCATTTTAACAAAAATTGACTTTGAACACTGCTATAGCAAATGTTATTCCCCTCATGCTAGGCAGTCTTTTAAAGAAAGTATTGGTACTGAACATATTTCCAATATACGTTGAAGATGCCTTAATGAAAGTTCTGTCTCTGTATAAAGGCCAGTTCCTTCTGCATTGCACAATAGTTTTGTTTCATGGTCAGCTCCATCTGTTACTGCATGTCCTCTTTCCTGACTGCTGTACAGCCAGACCTATTTGCTAGGTCTGGCTGTAGATTTGCTGTGCAATCTTTTGGAGAACTAGACAGTGCTTAATACCAGAGTCTTAAAAAAAGTAGGTGGTAAAACTGGTAAAACACAATCTCAAGAATGGCTAGACAGATGCCCACAATTACACAGGGAAGGCAAATTTATAGATTATAGAATCCCTACAGTGTGGAAACAGGTCATTCAGCCCAACAAGTCCACACCGCCCCTCCGAAGAGCATCCCGCCCAGACCCATCAACCTACCCTTTCCCTGTAAGCCTGCATTTCCCATGTCTAATCCGCCTAACTTACACACCCCTGGATACTATGGGCAATTTAGCATGGTCAATCCACTTAACCTGCACATCTTTGGACTGTGGGAGGAAACCGGAGCACCCGGAAGAAACCCACGCAGACATGGGGAGAATGTGCAAAATCCATACAGAGAGTTGCCCGAGGGTGGAATCGAACTCGGGTCCCTGGCGCTATGAAGCAGCAGTGCTAACCACAAGTACAAATTTTACCCTCCTGCTCCATGTAAATTAAATACCCTCTAACTAACTTTGAAGCCTCTCTACCACCTAAAAAGCACAAATCCAGACTAGGATAGAAATTTATCCTTAACAACATGCAAAGTGCTATCCAGGACAAAGCCATCAGCTTGATTGACAGGGATATTAGGAACTACAGATGCTGGAGAATCTGAGACAACAAGGTGTAGAGCTGGATGAACACAGCAGGCCAAGCAGCATCAGAGGAGCAGGAAGGCTGACGTTTCGGGCCTCCACCCTTCTTCAGAAATGCTGGTAACTTCTTCAGGGTAGGCATCCTTAGAAGAGGCTTCGCAGCGGGGTTAAAATTGTACCAGAAATAGTAGGAACTGCAGATGCTGGAGAATCTGAGATAACAAGGTGTAGAGCTGGATGAACACAGCAGGCCCAGCAGCATCAGAGGAGCAGGAAGCCTGTCGTTTCGGGCCTAGACCCTTCATCAGAAATTAGCATTTCTGAAGCCTGGCCTGCTGTGTTCATCCAGCTCTACACCTTGTTAGCTTGATTGACAGCCCATTTACCGCTTCTTTCATATCTTTGTTACTCTCAGACTTGACTACTTTAGCAGTCCTTGACCAACCGTGGCTTGAGCTCACCCAAACTATAGCCTGGATTTTCCGATGACCAGTCAGTCTCTTTTCCCGCATAGATTGGAGTAGCATATGGAAACCCTATGGAAATCAACTGTGTAGGTATCTGAGGAGTTGCAAATGGTGGAAAATATTGTCCAATGATCAGCAAACATCCCATTTCTGATCCTTTGATGGAGAGAATGTCATCAACGAAGCAGACGAGTTGAACTTGTGGAATTCCTGCAATGATGTTTTAAGCCTGAAATGATTAGCCTCCAACAACCATAAGCATGTACTAAGTATGACTCCAACCATAGAAACATAGGGATTTGATGACATGACCAAATGCCATGTGCAGTCCAGCAGCAACATGCTAGAAAGAGGATAAATACATTGTTTTCTGCAACTGCAAATTGTGGTCTGAGCTGTTAAATAAACCGGCATGAGATTTTCAAATAAATTCAATCCGCTCTAACAAATTTGTGCAGCTCGCTAATAAACAGGGAATATGGTCTGGTGATGACCCATGCTTGACACCCACAGGAGTTTGACCTAGACTGCATTACGACAGTGCAAAAATTACACTAAGACACAGAGAGAAAAAAAACTGAAAAAACAATGAGTACTTGATCTGTTAAAGGCATAGCCAAAAGTAGCAGAAGGCTGAATTTTAAAATATGAACAGCCTCATTGCGGGATCTCTACAGAGAGTAGGCTTATAGTCACAACGCTGAAATTAATGCTCCAGATATCAACAGCATTTGAAAAAGACAGGGAATATCAAAAATATGATAACACATCCCTGGCATGAATTAGAAAACCACAAAGGTCCCTATCTGAATACAAGCTCTTTGAACAAATGATGGGGCTATGCCTTTTTAGATTTAGCAGTTCTGGAACCAGATAAGGAAGCTGTGGAAAGAAAGGCAGCTATTGGAAATAAAGGGATGCGCGGAATCAACAATTAAGGCCCATCTCAAGAGCACTAGAGAGATTCTGCTAAGCCATGGAAAATGCTGGAAAATCAACTTCATGTAGAAGTAAACTTTAGAATTCACCAACTCGAGTTGATATCATGTAATAGTCTCAATATTTAATTAATTACTTTGTCAGTAGTTGCCATGACAAAGATGATAGCTGGGATTCTTCAGAGGCTGAATTGCCTGAGTGGACATGCGAGCTAATTATAGCTTCTTCACCTGCTGAAGCTTTGAAAGAGACCTCTTAGAGAAAAAGAAAGGACAAACTATTGTAGCTGATCAACGTCGAGAGTGTGAAGTGTAGTTGCTGGTATTGGTGTAGTAGCCAGGACGCAAAAAGCAAGCAAGTCATGTGGGAAGTGTGGTCTCCCATACCCACTACAAAGCTGTTCTACATTCCAAGACCTTTGGAAGCCACGCAATGCAAAAGGGCACCGGTTTGCCCATACAAAAAATCCTGCTTCCAAAGCTATAACCAAAGGTTACAATAGGACACAATCACCTTCTGCTACTATTTACACCATATGCCCAAAGAAAATTGATAAACGCAAACTCAAGACCAAAGTCAACTCAGGAGCTAGTAAAAATATCTAATCGATCAAAATTCTATGTTCTATATGTTCCAACACTGCAGGAGATTACCTGAATCATTATACATCAATGATACAGCGTACAACAGCAAAATTAGCTACACATAATGGGGCACTATGCTTTGCATTAGTACATTTACAATGAAATGCAGCTATGGCAATTCTGTGTGGCAGAGATGAGTGGACCAGCAATAACAGGATTATATGTGTGTATGCATCTCAACAATGTGACCATTCACAAGATCTTCAAGATGCTGAATGCAGCAGAGGAGACCACAAGTCACCCAATCCCGGACTTTCAATAATTACACCACACGGATTTGATGCTATGCAAATTTCAAAGCTGATGCTATACAGCCCCTCAGAGAAGATGCAATTCCATCCATCAATCCTCCCAGAAAGTGAAGGGTTTCACATACAAGAGAAACTTAAGAGTGAGCTGGACAAAATGGAACATAACAACATAATGTGTACATTAACACATAGGCTGGTGTAGTTGTATTATGTGCATGCTGAAGAAAGATAGCACAATTATGGTATATTTGGACCTAGGATGCTTTGTCATGACTATAGATCAGAACTCCAAAGTACTGTGGATAGTTTTAACTTGTACTTTTAAATTCTGTTTTTAAAAGATATTAGCTGAGAATATACATCAGGTGGCTGTCTAGAGAGAGGGAGATCTGTGAAATGTCCCACCTATAGATGCCAAGGGAACTTTAAAAAAAACTCTCAAAGAGGGAAGAGGCAAGTCAAAACAAACTGGACTATTATCTCTGATAGTAGGAACTGCAGATGCTGGAGAATCCGAGACAACAAGATGCAGGGCTGGATGAACACAGCAGGCCAAGCAGCATCATAGGAGCAGAGAGGCTGACGTTTCGGGCCTAGACCCTTCATCAGAAAAGCTATTATCTATTATCTCTTGTGACTAAAAAGATAATAAGGGGTGATGCAATCCTGCTTAATGGCAAGTCACACCCTGCAGATTAGGCCCCAAACTGCAGACATATTTTGTTTTGTCTCCTTTTGAAGAATACACAAGGACAGGAGATAAAAAGCCAGTTGCAGGTTTACTGGAGGGTGCTGGCAGTGCTGAACGTTCTCACATGTACCATGCTAGGTTTGAGCATTAGCATGCTGTGGGAGTCACAGTCGAAGATCTGTCCCCTAGTTACCTTGTCCTCACAAACTTCCTCATGAGGTTCCATTAGTCCTTTGGTCCAAAATTGCAACAGATTTATTCATCATACATGCTGACAATTTTCTCATGATCACTGACTACATTTCTAAATGTCCAATTTGTAGTTAACAGGCACTTTCAAGCTCATCTATGAAGACACAGTAAGTGCAATATTCAGTCTGTTCAGTACACCCTAAAAGATTATATCTGACAAGGCGCCATTGTAAAACAGGCAGATCTTTCAGGGACATGTATGCCAAGTGGGGTCTAAATGTTGTGAAAGCCCTACCACATCATTGTACAAACAAGACAAGAAATATGGCCACAGCCAGCCTCTCAAACCCACCCTTTTATCAATTTTTGTTCCATTCAATTTCTCAAGTATCTTCATTTCCAATCTGGTTTGCCAAAACCTTTCCCTCATAAAGACAAATGCAAAGTAATCTGTTTATCTTTCAGTATTCCAGACACCCTGTCTTTTGTTGCCCTACAGTTTCTCCTCATTTGCAGGAACCATCACTTCCATAAAGATTGCCTACTGTTTGATTACATTTTTGCTTACCAATCACTGAACTGATTTTACCCTGGACAAATGCACTCTCAGTTCAATGAAATTAGCCACCCTCTGAGCAAGAATTTTTAATTTAGATCACTCCTTGTCTTTTTCTAAACTTAATGTTGTAGTGATCACTGTTCCCTAATTTATTTTTCTTATAGGCACTTGACACCCTCATTGTCCAAAACCTCATCCAGAAATGTTTCCTACCTCACTGGACCAGAAATGTACTGATCAAGAAAATTTTCCTGAACACACTTCAGGAAATATTGTCTCTCTCTGCTTCTTCACATCAATTCTCTCAGTTGCTTCTCCA